GGAAGACATTAGGGTGCTCTGCTGATGCTCATGGACACTTCTGATTGTCCTCAACCAAAGGCAGATGGACCTCTCTCTGACCGTTGACTGGATTCCTTGTAATTCACAACGTCAGATCAGTCTGTCAAATGAAAGCGATTGAAATGTGTGTTCACCTGGTTAACTCTTTGATCACTCCACTGGGCAGAGATGTCAGATTAACATTCCTGTGAGTTATTGATCTGTCATTCTCATTGAAAGCAAGTCTAAGAAGCAATAGATCTGTCCTAATTGCACTATTTCTATGCTTCCCGTTCTTAAGTTTCTTTTTTTGGTTATTGAAAAGATATTCCAGAGTGGTTTAGATGGTACACTGATTCTCTACATTATACATAACTTGTTTTGTCGCATAAACTGAAATTAGGCAAACTATTATAATTTTAGCAACCAGGAAATGGCAGAGCGATTTCTGCATATTGCACCTTTAAAAGTTGTATAAAGAGATGGTCTACGTTCATGACTTGCAAATCCAATTTGTTTTCCATGTATACTGAACAAAAATATAAACGCAACATGTAAAGGGTTGGTCCCATGAGCTGAAATAAAAGATCCCAGAAATGTTCCATGTGCACAAAAAGCTTATTTATCTCAAACTTTGCCCATCATTTGTTTACATCTCTGTTAGTGAGTATTCTCCTTTGCCAAGATAATCCATCCACCTGACAGGTGTGGCATATCAAGAAGCTGATTAAACAGCATTACACTGGTGCATCTTGTGCTGGGGACAATAAAAGGCCACTCTAAAATGTGCAGTTTTGTCACACAACACAATGCCGCAGATGTCTCAAGTGTGCAATTTGTATGCTGACTACTGGAATGTCCACCAGAACTGTTGCCATATAATTTAATGTTCATTTCTCTAGTATAAGCCGCCTCCAACGTCGTTTTAAAGAATTTGGCAGTACGTCCAACCAGCCTCACAACCGCAGACCACGTGAAACCACGCCAGCCCAGGACCTCCACATCCGGCGGAGGAGTATTTCTGTCTGTAATAAAGCCCTTTTATGGGGAAAAACTCATTCTGATTGGCTGGGCCTTGCTCCCCAGTGGGTCGGCCTGGCTCCCAAATGGGTGGGCCTATGCCCTCCCAGACCCACCCATGGCTGCACCCCTGCCCAGTCATGTGAAATGCATAGATTAGGGCCTAATGAATTTATTTCAATTGACTGATTTCCTTACATGAACTGTAACTCAGCAAAATCTTTGAAATTGTTGCATGTTGCGTTTTATATTTTTGTTCAGTATATTTCCAAACTCCATCTCTTGCGATCTTCACTAGTCACACATGCGTAGACTAGAGAGAGGATTCTTTATTTGCACTTTCAGGAACTTGCTGACAACATAATTTATGGTCTAGTAAAACCAACACAATCACAAATAATTGTATTATTCCAGCTGCCAGGGAACAGTTCCTATTTGGTGCAGCAGTCTACAAGTCCATCATCAGAAAGTTGGTAAAATAGCATCACAAGTTTGGCCACTTCATAGATACACTATATATACATAAGTATGTTGACACTCCTTCAAATTAGTGGATTTGGCAATTTCAGCCACACCCGTTGCTGACAGGTGTATAAAATCAAGCACACAGCCATGCAATCTATATAGATTAACATTGGCAGTAGAATGGCCTTACTGAAGAGCTCAGTGACTTTCAATGTGGGACCTTCATAGGATGCCACCTTTCCAACAAGTCAGTTTGTCAAATTTCTGCCCTGCTAGAGCTGGCCCGGTCAAGTGCTTAAGTGCTTTTATTGTGAAGTGGAAACTTCTAGTAGCAACAAATGCTCAAACGCAAAGTGGTAGGCCACACAAGCTCACAGAACAGGACCGCCGAATGCTGATGCGCGTAAACATCGTCTGTCCTCGGTTGCAACACTCAATACCGAGTTTCAAAATGCCTCTGGAAGCAACATCAGCACAAGAGCAGTTAGTCGGGAGCTTCATGAAATGGGTTTCCAAGGCCCAGCAGTCGCACAAGCCTAAGATCACCGTGTGCAATGCCAAGCGTCGCCATTGGACTCTGGTGCAGTGGAAACGTGTTCTCTGGAGTGATGAATCACGCTTCACCATCTGGCTGTCCGACGGACGAATCTGAGTTGGGCAGATGCCAGGAGAACACTACCTGCCCCAATGCATAGTGCAAACTGTAAAGTTTGGTGGAGGAGGAATAATGGTCTGGGACAGTTTTTCATGGTTCGGGCTAGGCCAAATCTAGTACTGAGTGCATAAGCTACAGCTAGCTAGCACTGCAGTACTTAACATTTGTTGAGTAGTAAAACAAAGGTGATGTGGTTCGGTAAGAAGAATACTCACTGAGATACCTTCTGCTCACTCCCCCCTATCTGAGATACCTACTGCTCACTCCCCCCTATCTGAGATACCTAATGCAACCCACGGGGGGCCACTATGAAAAAAATAATTAAAAAATAATGTATGCACTCACTAACTGTAAGTCGCTCTGGATAAGAGCGTCTGCTAAATGACGAAAATGTAAAAGGTAAACCCTCAAACTCCACATACAACAAGTGTTCTGCCAGTCAAATTCTATTAAAGGTCCCCAAAGCACACACATCCCTGGGTCACTCCTCTTTTCATTTCGCTGCAGCTAGCGACTGGAACAAGCTGCAAAAAACACTCAAACTGGACAGTAATATCTCCATCTCTACATTCAAACCCACAATCATGGACACTCTTACTGACACTTGTGGCTGTTTCGTGTGATGTATTGTTGTCTCTACATTTTTGCCCTTAGTGCTGTTGTCTGTGCCTAACAATGTTTGTACCATGTTTGTGCTGCTACCATGTTGTGCTGCTGCCATGCTGTGTTGTTGTCTTAGGTCTCTCTTTATGTAGTGTCGTGATGTGTGTTTTGTCCTACATATGTTTTCTTTTGTAAACCCAGCCCCCGTCCCCGCACAAGGATTTTGGCTCTTGGTAGGCCGTCATTGTAAACCGGAATTTGTTCGTAATTGACTTGACTAGTTAAATAAAGGTTACATCTAAAAAAATACAACAAATTGACACAAAGAGAGAGAAAGACAATAGTTGAACAGTTTTGAACAAATTAATTTCTTCAAATATGAAGGAGAAGCAAGAGAAAGAGCTAGCTATATTTTGTTGTAGTTTTTTCACGTTCACTTACTTTGCTAGTGAATGCAACTAGCTAGTTTAGCCTACTCAAACACACGGCTCAAATAGAGAGGGATGCTTTGTTAGCTAGCATGCTATGGCTATCCAACACTGGAACTCTTCCAAGTCAGGCTAAGCTTTTGGTTTTATAAATGTATTGCCACCGGGGCCCACCGGTGTAACTGCTAAAGTGCTTGCTGACTGTACACTGTACTGCATGATTGTAGCGGGTTTACTATCGCGTTAGTTCTAGTAGCTATGTTGACTATGACTTTAGCTAATATGGTGACAACGATGTAGTCTATGTGTAGTGGTTATGGTAGGAAGGTATGGCTTGGAAAATGTTTTTTTTCGCCTGGTCATAGACAGCTGTTGAAGTCCACAAGTGAAGGGAAAAGGTGAGAAGAGGAGAGCGCATAGATGCGAGAAGGAATTATACAACAAGCAAAGTGATCATGCTGGTTGTATGTGGCTGCTATGAAAGTGAACTGTGTTTGCGGGTGATCAGGGGTGTATTCATTCCACTGATTCTGTTGAAAAACGTTTCATGAACAGAAGCAAAAGGAACGAAACAGGGATAAACATACCTGAATTTGTCCAATAGAAACTTGTTTGCAACTGTTTGGACTATTGATTACATCCTAGATCAGATAGATACAGGCAAGAGTGTGCAAGGCGGTAGTGAATGTGTCACTGTCTGTCACCTTGATTACTCAAATATTTCCCTCGACTTGTGCACCTACGTTGTAAACCTTCATTCGTACGCTAGGTTGTAGCAATCTCATGATGGGTATAGGGAAAATTTGAGTATTATGTAGTAGCCTAAACCTAGCCTGTTACATTGAGCTGGGTGTATGGAATATGAATTACAGTCATCCAATATGCTGTAATAGAAATAAGGCCATGCTCATAAAAAAGAAAGAAATCGCCCTCCCTAATCTTAAACGGCACTGACCACCACTGCCTTCCATCCTTCCTTGAGATTGTAGTGTCTGAAGGTCTATTGATTTTGCTGATGTTTGCAAATGGTGTAATAGATTAACTTTACTCTGCTTTGCTGAAGCATTTGGAAAAGCATTGCTACATTTACATTTACATTTTAGTCATTTAGCAGACGCTCTTATCCAGAGCGACTTACAGGAGCAATTAGGGTTAAGTGCCTTTTCAAGGGGACAGCTTTAAAGCCCTACG